GCCGAGGGCGCGGCCGCCGCGCGCGACGCGCGGCGCGAGGCGCTCGCGGACGCGCTGCTGTCGCTCCTGCTGGACGCCGCGGCGCCGCAGCTCGGCTTCGGGTGCGGCGGCGAGCTGGGCGCCGCGCTGACAGAGGACCAGCGCCTGTCGATGCTGCGCGCCGCGGGGCGCGCCCACCAGGCCGGGGGCGGCGTGCTTGGGGCCGCGGCGGCGGCGGTGGTGGAGGAGATTCAGGGGCAGCAGCAGCAGCAGCAGCGGCGGCGGGAGCTGGAGCAGGAGCAGCAGGAGCAGGAGCAGCAGCAGGAGCAACAGCAGCAGGAACAGGAGCAGCAGCAGCGGGAGCAGGAGCAGGAGCAGGAGCAGGATCATGGGCGGCAGCGGCAGCAGCAGAATGATGGCGAGGCGGAGGCTGGGGTGGGGATTGACATGCGCGTTAAGCCATTGCCGATGATTGAAGGATGCAACAGCTCAATGGTTGGAGTTGGGCAGCCCACAGATGCGGTGGCCTGCCGTCTCGCAGCGATGCCCTAGAGCAGCAGCGAGAGCGAGCAGCGCGGCAGCCCTGTGCGCGGCGGGGCCGCCGACGGCGGGGCCTGCGGGGCGCGCACCAGATATGGCCCGAGCCTGGAGCGGTCGGGCGCCGAGAGCGACCCGCGCGTTCCCGACGGAGCGCACAACTAACGGCGCCGACCGCGGCGGCGTCGGCGGTGGGGCCCAGGGTTCCTTGAGGGGTTGAGTGGCGCACGCAAATGTGTAGTGTGTATGCGACGCAAGGCGTGCTGATGCATGGGTGCTTCGGAACCGAGAAAAGCATTCGAATCTCTTTGATTGCAGGCTGCAGTAACCGGGCATTAACAATGGGGCCTCGGCCGCGGGGCAGGCAGCAGAGGGCTGCATCAGCCGCCGCACCTGGTGGCTGGTGCTAAGGCGCGGCGGCCGGCGGCGCTGGCTGTGGTCTATCAGAGCGCGCTGCGTCGGGGCAGAACGACACAGAGACTGCGCTGCTGCGACTCCTTGAAGTAGGGATGAGGGGGGCTGGCAATGCGCCGCCCTGCCGCTTGGCACAAACTAGCGGCGGCTGGGGCCGACGGTGCGTTTCGTCAAACTCCATGCGAGCCAGGCAATCTTGCGCTATATTGATTGGCCTGCCCCGCCTGCTGGAAATGTGTTATATAGGGTATTTGTAGTGCACGGACGGGCTGGGAAACTGGAAGGAAAGGTCGCTGCCAACAAGGAATCAGGCACTAATAAAGGCCGGCTAGGGCGCTCATCAAGGTGGTGACACAGCATGCCAATACTGCAGCAAGGTGGACGCGTAGGTGATTCAGAGGTTTTGGCTTACAGGGCATGGCACTTGTGCACTCATCAGTGACTGAGAGGAATTGCTGGCTGATTTGTGCTGACGGGCTGGGCAGCCCAGGTGTGCATTCCGGCTCTAGCGTGCGAAGCTAGCCACGAGTTCTGCTCTGCTGGCTGTATCAAACCTCTTACCCTGCTTGTATCAAAAGGACTGTCTTGCCTCGATGCGGTTTTGTTGGCAAATGGTGCAGGCGTGCATATCAAGCATTGAAGTCAATATGCACAGCCAGGTTCAGGCGAAGGCGAGTCCTGCGCAAGGGCTGCAAGGGGCCTTCCAATGTGGTTGTGCTAGGGCCGCCAGTGTGACACCAGCTGGACTGGCCCAGTTCTGAAGGGCCGGTGAGCCCTTACCAGAGCTTCTTGAGAGCCAACTTGGACTCGCATCTATAGTTTCGACTCAATTTCGTTGCGCAATTCCCCCGTCACTCCGACTGCGTGGTCGGGAATGGGCGTGGCCCGGAGTCACCGGCCACCACCGGCGTGTCCGCGTGCTGAAGTTTGGCGCCAAGCCATTCCGACGTGATAATCGGTCGCTCTTGATCTTTATTTGCCAGTATTCAGCGACTGATCCTCACAGTCGTTCCGACCAACTTCACGCTCTCTTGATCATTCTGTGCAGGTGCGCTGCTGCCTCCCACGCATTGCTTGCGATTGACATGCAGCTCAGGCGTGCGGCTGGACGCGCTGCTGACGCCCAGCTCGCAGCACATGTGGCTGCACGAGCATGGGCGCTGACCCCCCCGTGCCCGACATGGGCCAGGCAGCCTAATCTTCCCCGCGCCTGGGGGCCCACGCGGGCCCCTCTCAATGCCGCATCAGGGCTCAGCACAAAGGTGCTTACTGTTATTGGGCCTGCTGCTCTATCTCATGTGAGCGCACAGGAGCAGTCACCCCAGCCACCTACCACCATGAGGGCCTCTTTCCTCATCTCGGCCGTCGCGCTGCTGATGGTCGGAGCTGCCGCGCCCGCCCTGGCTCTGTCCAAGGGCGACTGCTACGTGGGTGAGTGACCCAGGAAAAAGACAGTTGCGAGGTGCTTGTGGCACGGCAGCGACCCGTTGCACGGCCGCGCACAGCCGCAAGGCCCACGCAGCCCTAACAGCCCCATGGCGCGCGCGGCGGCTGGCCGCAACAGCTGTCGCTTCCAGATCGTTCCCACCCCTGCCTCCCGGCTCCCACCCGCTTGCCACGGAATGCGATGGTGCAGCACTGAATCCAATGCGCTCCTTTTCATGTGCAAACGTCATTAGCCCGCCCCACAAACCAGCCATCTGAAGTTGGGTGGGCGCTGACCCCCTCCCCCCGCCCCCACACACACACCTCACCCAGCGCCCCACTCCTATCCCAACCACGCCTTGCCTCTGCAGAGCTGCCCCTGGACACTGGCGCGTTTGTGGGTCTGGACTCCGGCAAGTGAGCAGCGATGGGCAGCTCATCTGCGGTGCCAGTGGGCAGCACACATTGAGCACTGAGCACCAATCCAGGCGCTGTCGGCCCAGCATCAGTGCCTGTCGTGCCCAGGCTTGCAGGGCAGGCAACAACTATGTGCTGTGCAGCTCGGCAGCAACAAATACGGCTGGATGATGTCAGCTGGACCGGTCTGCTTGGCGAGTTGAGCTGGCAGTTGGCAGAGCAGACCCTGGTCGATGCCGCTGGGATAATGCCGAGTGTACCGCCCAGCCGCCACCCTCACCTTTTGAGTGACCGCATCCTCCCCAAACCCCCAGGTTCGAGAAGACCGTGCGCTTTGCGGACGCCAACGGCAGGAACAGGACCACCAAGGTCACCGTCAACCAGAAGTCTGCTGACAACAGCCAGCGCGGCGCCGTCACCGGCAAGATCGCGATCGTCTTCCCGGCGGGCTCCATCTGCAACTTCACCAACGACTCGCTCAACAAGAAGAACGCCGCCTACCCCGACCTGGTCAAGGCTCTGACCGGCCTCACCGTCGGCGGTTACACCAACGGCAGCTTTGGCGGTGAGATCCTGCAGGCCCTCATCAGGGCGGAGCGTGCTGGGGCGCTTGCACGCCCGGCTGTGGGCATTGGGGGCCAAATGCAAGTATTGGTAGTCACGCGCGTGCCTGGAGCTGTTCACATCCCTGCCTGACCCCCATTCTGTTGACGCGTCACGCAGTGACCGTTGCTGGGTTCGCCGGCACCTCGAGCACCAAGAAGGACAACACCACTTCTTCGTTTGCCATCAGCACCACCCTGGTTGACGTGAGCGACGCACACGGGCGGGGGCATTGTGCTGAGCTGCCGTTGCAAATTCCTCCCTCACATTGCAATGTGTTTCGCGAGCGGCGCTTCGGCCAACGCACGAGTTCATGCATTGCTGTGCTGCTCAGAGCCCACATGCACGCGTCCAGTC